ATGATCCCCAGCTCTTTTTTTAGCACCAAAAAGGTAAAGTGGCTCTTCAGGCCCCCTCAATTTGTGATGCAGGAAAAAGAAAGAAATGAGGAGTTGAGAATAGGGTCAAGTCTGTCCCCATAGGCAAAATAAGTGGGTATACAAACAAAATAAATCCTATATTCTCTTTAGCCCTGGGAATCTGGAATGTGATGCCCCAGCTACAGGTAAGCGGGGCAACCAACCAGAATGTACAGGCCTAAACAGTCTTTAAAAAAAAAAAAAATTAAGACAGGGTTTTGCTGTGTATCCAGGCTGGTCTCAAACACCTGGGCTCCAACCTAAACAGGCTTATCTTTGCATTTTCCATGAAGATCTTTGAATGGATGGTAAACTTTTGTAAGACCAAATTAAATGACTTCTTAGTGAGACAAGGCCTCTTCATTAATTTTCCAAATAAAAATATCTTGCAGGTTTTAAGTAAGAATCACAACAGAGTACTAAAAACTTTAACTGCAAGATGTTCTTGTATGGTATCATTTTCTTAAAATGAGAACCCTCCTAAAATCTCCTAAAAATAAGTCTGCTGTAGTTTCATTTCATTTTCTATGAAGGAGATAAATATATCAAAACACACATTTAGCTTCTTTTTGAAAGTCTCTCTGTTACATGGGACTCACAGATCAAAGTCAAAAAGGGCCAATTTCTTCACTTCAGAGGTCAATGACACAGCTTTGAGAAAGAGGAAAAACAGTCCCTCTAGTGTACTGGGGCTGTAGAAAGAGGAAGTATATTAGTTGAGAATCACTGACGAAGACACTATTGCCAAAGGAAATTACAAAACGACATTCTGGCAACATAGGCCAAGCAGACAGATTCTTCACACACTACCGTAACTGGCCTTTTGGTGAGTTGCTCCAAAAGGTGACTGAGGTCAAAATTATAAGCCAACATGAAATTATTATGACTTAGTCATTTTGAAATTTAGAAAAAATTAATAGAGTTGCAGTTGAAATAACATTTTCCTAATAGAATATGTTGAAAAGGAACTGGATGTATTAATCTAAAGAACAGAAACAGTGAGGACATAAATAAGCATTATGTGACAGGTCAGTCCTCATCTTTTTACCTTGGCAAGAAGCCATAACAGTACACATCCTTACGTGAAAGAAGACTCAGACTCTTGAAGAATTATTCTCTGGAGGAGCAGCCGCAGAAATTTTAGCACAGTATCCCTCACATTTGTGAAACTATGAGAACCACGAGAGAAACTCCAGTCTGGCTTATTTGATTATGCCCTGACCCATGGGAAAAGCAAGTGTGTGGGGTGTATAAGGAAATAAGTGACAGACAGGCCTTCCAGGTAAACCCTGGAGTCCTCAGAGGTCTCCCCAAGACAAGAGGAACTGAGAGAACTCACTTGTTCAATCATGGGTGCAGTGCAAGCTTAATCTGAATTAAAGGAAATGTAACCTTTTCCCCTCTTAACCACATCTGATTATTCATTTCTACTTTAATGCCTGAGGTAAGGGAACCTGTGAGATAGCCATCATCCTTCTCCCTGACACAGTATGCATCTGACAAATTTAAGTAACCAAGAGCTTCCTCCTTTTGTTAAAATGCTATCTTTCTTGCCTCTTTTATCACTTCATAGTTCCTAAGTAACCCTACTGACAGGCGCAGACAGCTATACAAACATGATACACTCACTCAGCCGCCATCTACATTTATTTGCCCATTCTTTTGATGTTGAAATAATAAGATGTTTTTAGACTGAGAGGCAAATACGCCTTTCAGGAATGCAACCTCTCTACTTATGTAAGACTCTCCATTACCTAAAAAATGACCTTTAAAAAAAGATCAATTTAAAGAAGAAAATGGAGAACAAAAACCTCTAGAATTGTGGCTACTAATTACCGCTCTACTAACTAGTTGTATGATCTTAAGAAAGTCATTAACTTCTCCAAAAATCAGGTTTTTTTCACCAATAAAATAAGAGGGTTGAACTAGATCAGAAAACTTCATCCTGGTTATATGTTAGAATACTTATATACCTAAGAAACTTAAAAAAAAAAAAAACAATACTAAGCTGCACACAAGCCAAATTCAATCAAATTCTCTGGGTATTTGTACTTTTCAGAAGTTCCAAGGTAATTCAAACATGCAGCCAGGACCGAGAACCACTGGTTTAGATTCCGATCTCCAAACCTTCTTTTCTAATTCTTTCATTTTATGATGTTAGGGTGATAATTTTGGTTATAAAGTCTCATAATGCAATGGCCCGAATAGCCTCAAAAGAAGTTAAGACCTAGACTCTGCATACCGTGCCCTTTATGCATACATGTCTAAGAGATGTTAACCTGAATTCTAGACATTTTGGAAGGTAAAAATTCTCATACATTACTCAGAATGAAAGTAGTGTGGTTTAAATGCACATGCATGCTTCCAAAATGACTAATCATGACAAGAATCAACTCCTAAACTTGGATGCATGGAAATGGGTCACAATTAGCCCCTGACCTCTCCCTTTTTCCTCTTGTTCCACTCCCACTAAACCACAAGCACAAAAAAAAAAGGTTGCCTATTAGTCATAATCAGAATATAAAACTAGCCCCAATTTCAAAGGGCCTTCTCCCTCATCAAAGATTTGAAAGTTCCTGCATGGTCGCATCTTTTGATCAAGTTCATCTTATAAAAACCCTAACAAAATTATATCCCTTTAGTCTTCAAGGATTAGTTGCCACATGACACAGAGAAATGGAATCGGTAAAAAAAAAAAAAATTTAAGGTAAAAAGAATCATAAAATGTGTGCCCTGTATTAAATATATTAAGCCTTGAGAATTTCTATTTACAGCATTTTATAAGATTTTAGTTGAAGAGGGATGAGATAGCAGAGAGGGGTAAAAGAAACCATGAGACAAAAAAAATCATCATGACATGAAACCATAGAGTTTATGACTAGGCCCAAAATTGGTATTGCAAGTCCTACACACTATATGAAAATATAACTAGCCCAATCTCAATTTGTGGCTACTTTTGGTAATACCATTTTCTCATGTAAATCTTCCCCCATAAAATAAAATTCACTCAACTTAACTTTAAGCATAAATACAATAACAACAAATATTATTTGTGAAATTATTTTTGTAATCTTAAAAATCATAGGAAAGGTGAAAACCCCTTCCTACATTAACTTTTTAACTAAGTTAAAAGTTAGCTAACTTTTCACTAACATATTGTCTACACCAAATTCATAAATGCAAGACTACATTTCAAGTGTGAAAAATCTAAAAACGATTTCAAACCCTAAATTCATGTCCTCAGATCCTGTCTACTAACCCCCTTCCTGACACTATACACTGAGATTAACCCTCCCCATCCACTTTGCAACTCAGTTTTAAAAGATATTGCACTAGTGCTCTTTTCAAATGGAATTGTCTGACTTTCATCCTTTCTGTAAAGAACTCTCATAGCATAGAACTGGCATTCTTTTATAATAAAATCAGACCAAATATAAGACTCATAATGTTAGCATTTGTTAAAAGAAATGAAACAGATTTGTGTGGATTAATATCAAAGCACACGTTTTGCTTTTTAAAGTATCTAAATAAAGCCTCTCTGATACAAGTCGTATTTCAAAAAGCAAAATAAAACATTCTTTACATTAAGTTCTTTAGCTTTTTCATATACAGCCAGTGCTTTACTTCAATTCTCCACTAAGATTAAACTGTTCTTATTTTTATACCTCCTGAAATCCAGGAAGACAGAGGGCTCCCCAATGACAATGAAGGAAGGAAAGGAGGAAGCAACTACTTTTTTCACTTAAAAAAAAAAAAAGAAACAAAAACTAAGCTAAATTGCAAATAGGAACAGCTGATAAGAGATGTGTATCTCCAATTGCACAGGATTCTTTGGCCTGGTACTGACTGACACATTACTATCTTGGGAGAAGGGGCAAGGGAGGTGCCTAGGAAGAGCAAAGCAGCTGGATATCAGCAGCCCAGCAGGGGCAGAGGAGTTAAATCTCTTTGGATGCCCAACTGCAGGAAGTCATTACATCATAGGCCTTTCCACACCTCTCTCCCTACCACGTGTCCAGTGCCCCAAGAGAATGAAAAGGAACGGTAGAGAGTCTCTCTTCAGGTTCATTTACAGGTAGAAGCCATTAACGGTCCAGCCCAGCCCCCAAACCTCCCAACTGCCAGAGTGAATGAGGCACAGGCCCCTAGTCCCCTATACCCAAGCCCTTCCCTCCAACAGTGCCAGAGTCCAGGCCTCTCCAGGAGCAGTGGGTGCGGCCACTCTGGATTGAGGTGGCCAGGCCAGTCGGTTCGAGGCCCCAGAACATTTCAGAAGCTAGTCAGGGGCAGGTTTACTGGAGTGGTATCTCTGAGAAGAAAAGGTGTCAATTGCAGGCAATGAAAGGAAGCCGTCCAGGAAGAGGTTTGCAACCACTGCTTTTTCTAATGGGATCGATGAGCCTGTGGGAGTTAACATCCGCAAGCTGAAACTTGGACCCCGAGGGTTCTCATTCAGCTAGTGACGACACAATATATTCCTGTGACAGACTAAAAACCACACATCCAACCCCTCCTCCGGACATTGCATACAAAACACTCCCCCACATCCTTCACTCCACCCACAGTGCCCGAAACAGACCCCCATCAAGGTAAACTCTACTCCAAAGTCGCTGCGGACCTACCTCCTCGACGCTGTCCTGAGAATCCAGCAAACGCACTCCTGTCCGTTCGCCCTTCCCTCGCCGGCGTCCCCTGCCCCCTTCTCCTCACCTGGCCATGCCCTAGGCTTGTGGGGAGCCTCTTTTCCCCCATCCGAGGCCGTCCCCAGGTGCCCTTACTCCGGGGGTCAAAGAGAACCCGCAAAACCTCACAGCTGAGGCTCCCCCTGCCAACCCCGCTTGCCCTGGAGCCCGCAGGCACGCTCCGACAAATCCAAGAAGCGTCTCGCGCTGCGCAGAAGGCCCGGCGGGTCCAGCCGCCAGCCAGGGGTGGGTACGCACCTTCCAGCCGGCCGAGCTGTTGCTGTCGCCCTTATCCTTGAAGTAGGGCACGCAGCGCACCATCCACTCGTAGATCTGGGACAGAGTGAGCCGTTTGTCCGGCGAGCTCTCGATGGCGCGGGTGATCAGGTCCGCGTAGGACAGGTTTCCCCAGGCGTTCCGCCGCGACGAGCATTTCCTCGGCTGCCCGGAGCCCCCAGCCGCCCCTGGCTGCGGCGGTGGCAGCGGCTGCTGAGGCTGCAGCGGTGCCTGCATCCCCCCGCTTAGCGCGCCCGCCACAGGGGCTGGCCCAGACCCGGGGTCTTGCCCTCCCGGTGCCAGCAGCCGGGCCGAGTCCTCAAGGAGCAGCCCAGAGGCCAGGGTGCCGCTCCCGCCACCGCCGATCGCCATGGCCGAGCTGGCCCGGCCCCCGCCATCCTCGTCGTCTTCATCGTCCTCCTCTTCGGGGATCATGGAGTCGGCGGCTGTCTCCCCCGAGGGCTTAGCAGGGCTCGCCTGGAGCTCCGGCCTTTGCAGGGGCCACGTACAGGAACGCGGCCGGCTCTGGGGCTCGAACTCCGGGTCCAGCTCCACTTCAAGCGGAGAGAGCGGGGCCGGGGAGGCCGGTGCCTCTGCCATCTTCACCGCTCGCCCGCCAGCCCGCGGCTGGGGCTCTCGCGCCGGGGCGGGGTGCGGCGGGGGAGGAACGTGGGCGCCGCGAAGGCTCCGGCTCCCGGGCGCCGCCGCCGCCTCCTGGGGAAGCACGAGAGGAGAGAGAAGGAGAGTTGGTTATCCCGGGCCGGAGCCCTGTCCTCGGCGAGTCCTAGCCCGCAGCTGCCGCCTCCCAGCCGCGCCGCGCCCGCCTACCAGGAACAGGCGGACCTGGAGACGTGCGGCCAGCGAACCTGGCGCAGCAGACACCGCCCCCCGGCCAGGCCGCGGGGGAGCTGCGAGCGAATCGACGGCCTCGCGCGGGGCAGCCCCCTCCCCCCGCCGCCCAGCCTCAGGTCCCTCCCGGACTAGGCGGTGGGGCGGAGAGGAGGGGGAGGGGCACCCGGGGGAGGGGCGGCCGCGCCTTTAAAGCGGGCAGCGGCCCGTGCAGGCGCAGCCGAGCCGCGGTCGGAGCCCAAGCTCGGACGTGCGTGCGTTTGTTTATATTTCGCTCCAGCTCGCTCTAGTGCCTCCCGCGGCGCTGCCGCTCAAGTCTGTGTGATCTTCGGCTCTTTTCCCCTTTCCCCGCCCTGCCGCCTCCGCGACCCCCCTGTCACCCCGCAATCAGCCGACTGGCCCGAGCCCGGGGACTGCGCGGGCAGCTCCCTCTCCCCTCTTCGCCCGCGGGCCGGAGGACGAACGCGGGTCTGGGCGCAAATGGACCCTTGTCACTTCCAAAAAATAAAGGAAAGACGGAAAGAAGGGGAGCAGCACCCCGGCGGGTGTTCGCAGAGGGTCGAACCCGGCGGGGACGGCCACTTGGGGGTTTTGAGTGGTTGGTATTCTCGCGGACGTCGTCCCCTCCGCCCCCTTCCCAGTCAGGATCCGGGGGAGGGAGCGAGTCGGGACATAAATCTTCCAACAGGTCGGGAAGCGCCAAGTCTCCCGGGCTGCCAGAAAACCCGGACCAGCACGTTCATCACCTCCTTGCTCCCGCTGCTGCCATCTTGACAGTTTCCCCCTTCCCTCGAGTCCTTTAAAATCACTAGCGGGCGAGACGGGGGGCGCGCAAACCGCGGCTCGGGGAGGGGAAAGGGAAGAGCCCGGCCCAGCTCGCAAGCAGATCCGGAGTCACCGGGAAGGCGGCCGCCCGCTGCACGGCTCCGGCGCCTACCTCGCTTCCTTCCCTTCAGGGACGCGGCGGGACGATGCACGATCCCGCGCGGGCCCGGGGCACGGCGAGGAGGGGGCGCGCAACCTCGGCGAAGGAGAAGCGCTCGGGCCGTCGCCGCAGCCCGCCCGAAGAACCGCCTGTCAGCTCGCGCGCCGCCGCCTTCCACATTCCTCCTCCTCCCTTTCAAGAGCAGGGCGGCCGCGGCAGCAGCACAAAGTTATAGACACACGCAGGGCGCCTCAACCTAAGCTGACGGCGGGCGGGTCCCCGCCCAGGGGGAGGGTTGGGCGGCGGGCTGGGCGCGCGGCGGGCGTGCGTGAGTGCGCGAGTGTGAGCTCGCGCGCGCTTGCGCGACCCGGGTCCGCGGGGCTGCGGGCGTGGGTGTCCGGGCGCGCGCCGAGGGCCGGGACTCGGCGGGCTCTCGCTGTCGTTCCCGCTGGGCTGCTCCTCCCTCCCCAGAGCCTCAACGACAACAAAGCGCGGCGCTGGCCCGAGAGAAGAAGACAGGGGAGAGGAGGGAGAAGAGGGAACGCCAGGAGCGCGAAGCCCCCGACGCTCCAAGGAGCGCAGCGGCTTGGCCTCCCCGAAACCAGGCAGGGCTCCTAGCACCACGGGTCCCGGGCCTGCGCATCCGCTCGCCCGGCTCTGGTCTCACCACGGTGTCCGGTTCCCGGTTAGAACTCGACACCAGGTAACACCCGAGATAAGATGCTGACCGCAGATGACCAGGGTTACAGCGGCGTGGAAATACTGAACGGCGAAGATGTTGGTGCCTGCACAACTTTGATAAGCCAATGCTCACAGATGCGATCGGGCACCAAAAGGTTTACACTGAGTCTCTCACCTACCACAGTTGTGTTTTACTTTTCATGGGTTTCATAGCAAACGGGGGACAGGTGTAACTAACTCCGGAAGAAATGCAAACCCCACCCCCGTCCTACATTCAGGAGCAGATTGGAGAAGGGAAAAATAATTTTAGTCTAATTTGTAAAGGACGACAAAACTGCTAAGTGTGCATTTTTGACTTTTCAGAAAAGACGGATTCCTTTAGGCTCAGAACATCTGCACAAGTCCTTATTCTACGATCCGTGCCCCAAATCGTTTATTTGTACTCTACGAATGCAGTACACGCGACATGCACACCCAAAGTATAGACACCGTAGTTTATAAATATCTTTTTTAAAAAAATAGTTCTAAGTCACCGGAGATAGCTCAGAGTGTAGAAGCGGGCTCTGTAATGACCCCCATACACAAAGGTCCAGCCCAGCGTACGCAGGAGCCAGCCCGCCCCGCTACCTCCGGGCTCCGGGCTTTGCGCAGCACCCGTCACTCAAGTGACGCGCGGCCCCGCCCCTGCACCAAGCTAGTTCGACGCGTACAAACAGATGATGTCATCGTCTTCACACGCGCGTGACCCCGGAGCTCTCTGCCGCGTCTCCATTCGCTGCGCCGCTTACTCGTCAAAGCACGCCGCGCGCTGACTGGCCGCGGCCACCAGTCTCCAGGCCCCAGACGCCCCTCTCCGCCCCCCGCCCCCGCCCCCAGAAAATAATAAACAATCGAGTAAAATTCTAAGGCATGAAGAAGAGGAGAGGGAAAAAGGGAGAGGGCGCACCAGAAACCAATCCTTCGCGCGCTGACGGTGGGAGGGTTCGGGGGGAAGGGTGGATGCGAGAGGATTGCGGACGGGAGGAAGGAAGCCGACCTGGGGCGGTGGGTACGGCCGCGGCAAAGAGGCGTCGGGGCGGAAAGTTGCCACGCACTCGGCGGGGCGCACCTGTGGTAGGGGGCTCTAGGGCCCAGAGCGGCGGGGCTTGGGGGCTCGGGGGCGGGGCGCGACCCGCGAGGGGGCGGGGACTGAGCGGCGCCGGCAAACACGTGCGGGAGGAGGGTGGGCGCGCGCCACACGGGCTGGGCCTGGGCGCGCGGCCTGGGGAGCAGCGCGCGCTTGTTTACCAGCGCACGTGGGTGTTATTTTTAAATGGAATGTGGCGCTGGCAGCGCGGCCGAGTGGCGGGCGCGTGGGGCCGCCCGCGCTGGCTGGGGGACGCGGCGGGCCCTGCGGCGCGGCCTCTCCGGGCGCTGCTCGCGAAGCAGCCGGGCTGTACCCACTGCGCGTCGCTGGTGTAGCCGGCGGCTCGGGCCAGAGAAGCTGATTGAGAGATTCGTGCGCTGCAGGAACTGCAGCGGAGACTATGGTTTCCCGCCGCCGTCTTTGCGCCCAGCTCGGCTCCCGCATTCTCATTCAGGAAACAAAGCCTTCTGCTTGACTTCGCCCACGAAGCCGCGCCAGTCCTCGGCCACGGGTTCTGGAGTAGATCTCACACGCGCACACACTGGCACACATACTTTGGCCGCGAGGTGGACCCTCAGCACCCTACGTGCCCTGTGTCCTCGCTCCCTTGTACCGAATGCCCCCAGTTCACATGTGCCTGTCTCGTGGGCATGTGGCTCTGCCCACGTACAAATGCGCTGCTGCTATTTCGGGCTGCCCTTGGAAGGGGAAGTCTGGGGACGGGGGCTCTACTGTTTACTGCGGTTGCTCCTCTTGAGGCACCTCTCCTCTCCTTGTAGGCCTGTCCCGCAGAGAAGCTCCGAGTTTGCATGGTTTACATACTGGGAGTGTGGACGGTGATGTACGACCACAACTCGGCTTCGAGTGTCGGTGCTTGAGGTGCAGTTTGGGGATGGTAGTAGTTAAATGCTGGTATTCAGCTTTGCAGGAAGGACTGGGAGCTAGATCACCCGGAGCCCCGCATCGTGATGCAGCATAAAATTGTAAGAATTTTCCGTTGCTGGCTTTTGATACTTACAACACTGTAGAAGAAATCCACACGTTTTATTCTCTGAATCTAAGCAATATTGTCATTAGAGTGCAGACCTGCAAAAGTAGAAAGAATGTGTTTACAGTGGCTGGGCTCTCAGCCATTAGATTTTCACTATAAACATGTTGAGTGTCCATTTACAGAACGCATATCCCAGGGGCATTCCAAGAGAGTGAAGATTTAGTGGATTAACAGAGCATTGTGAGCTTCACGGTGAGGAATAGGGGGCAGGCACTTGATAAAGCCATTTCCCTCAAAGAGCTTGCTTGGGGGGATAAGACATGTTAGAAAGTTAAATATTGCAAGTTTAAAAGTGGTAGAAGTCTGGGGGCGCACTGGCTCACACCTGTAATCCCAGCACTTTGGGAGGCCTAGGCAAGAGGATCCCTTGAGCCCAGGAGTTCAAGACCAGCCTAGACAACATGATGAAACTCGGGTGTCTACAAAAAATACAAGAAGTCCCAGCTATGGGAGGCCGAGCTGTAAGGATGGATCGCTTGATCCCAGAAAATCAAGGCTTCAATGAGCCGTGATTGTACCACTGCACTCCAGCATGGGTGACAGAGTGAGGCCCTGTCCTCCTCTCCCCCCGACAAAGGAAAAAAAAAAAAGCAGTAGAAGACAAATACAAGAGGTCATACATAGAGTGTTGGATAAGTTTCAAATGAATTGAAGAACAAAAAAATTCAGATGGAAGTGACTATAAACTTGCAGCTTTGTAATGTGCACCTTACACCTGTAATTCACACATATGGGCAAAGCTATGAGAACTCAGAGATTGAATCTCAGAGATTATTCTCTTTCAGCCACAAATTGCCTCGACCTTTGCCTTCCTCTTGTAGGCCTCCTTGTTCCTTCTCCATTTCTTCCTACCATAAGTTATGGTTGTTAATTGAGAGGAAATGCCAGCATTACCTTCGAGGTAGAATTTTTGGTCAAAACTTTTCCCACCTCTTATTGACCAATTTTATACCCTATTTATTTCTATTAATAATTTAAGGTGGTGATCATTCACTGTATTTTGCAAATCCAGTCACTGGAGGGACAAAATTTAAGATGTTTACCTAAGTAAGCTAGGTAAATTCACCATTTCAATCACCTAGTTGTGAGGGGATTCGTAGTATATGCCAGGGCTTGCCCTCTGAGGGGGGCACCACTCAGCACCTGTGTCCTAGCCCGGTTCTCCTTGTGCCTAGCCCATCTGGAGCCTCCTGCTGACCCCAGAGCCCACATTCCAGGAACTGAGCCTACTGCCCCTCAGCAAGTGTGCATTTTCCTCTTGGGTTGGCTTCTGTGTCCATCTCAATGAAGACAGGAAACCAGTAGGATGAGGTTCCTAACAAACATGTGATCCATCTGGA